ATTGTATACTGACTAAAGCTTGAAATGTTACACTTTTAAGGTGGAGATCTATGACTATATAGTATGGCAGTTTGAAACGTTCTCATGTCATGAAAAATAAAAGGTCTAAATTAAGGTGTGATTTTTTTAAAGTACATAATTATTTCCTACATTGGAAGAAATAGAAGAGATAAAGGCATGATATCAGCTCCCTCATGATATATATCAATTGGGACAAAGAAACTGGTGACTGACCTTTTAGTTGGAAAAAGAATACACAGAGCGTGCAGAACCAGAGAGGGGTTCCGAAAGTAGGAAGATATTGAGAGGAATAAAAGAAGATGAGATAAGTAATAAACTTGAAGTAAAAAAGAACACAAAGGTAAAAAATGACTTGACCTCTCTGGGAAGTATCTTTACAATATGTAATAAGCAATTAAACTATTAATACTCTTATTTTTATTTTAAGTTTCAGGGTACATGTACAAGGATGTGCAAGTTTGTTACATAGGTAAACATGTGCCGTGGTGATGCTCCTATCAACCTATCACCTAGATATTAAGCCCAGCATACATTAACTATTTTGCCTAATGCTCTTCCTGTCCCCCTACCCCACCCCTTGACAGGCCCCAGTGTGGGTTGTTCCCCTCCCTGTGTCCGTGAGTTCTCATTGTTCAGCTCCCACTTATAAGTGAAAACATGAGGTGTTTGGTTTTTTGTTCATACACTAGTTTGCTGAGGATAATATCATCAATTATTTTACAAAAAATTTTGGAATGACATACTATATGCTGTTATTTATCTAACCATTTTCCAGATGTATACCTTGGGATAGTAATTTTTAACTTTTGTTAAACCACATGTTAAACAACTCAAACTTGGAACTATCAGACTTTTTCTTTAGGATAGTTTTTTAGAAGTAGAATAACTAAGTCAAAGAGTATTAATAATACTCTTTGATACTTTTATTACTAACTTTTAATAAAAGTATCAAACAGTATTATTAATACTTGTATATAATACTATTTTGACTCAATTATTCTACAGTTTTCTAACATTCTTTCAGCATGTAATACCAACTTCCTTCTTCTTAACCTCATAGAAAATGAAGAAAGAAACACAAATGTTTTCAACAGAAGAATAAATATAATTCTGTTTTAGAAAAAAAAAACATAGTGGTAGCAGAATGACCATTTGCCATTTCCCTTCCTGTGAAATCTTTTTGATCTTTGCCCATATTTTCTTATTGAGGTATTGATATATTTCTTATCAGTTTCCCTGAACTCTTTCCATCAAGGTATTATTAAAGATAATAATTCTTTTTCATATGTGTGATGAATTTTTCTCCCAGTTTAATATTTGTCTTATGGTTTTATTTTCATATCTTTGGGCCTTTTTTTCTTTGTATGTCTTCATGATGAATGTAATACACATTGCTTATAACAAACAATACAGACATTCATAAAGTAAAAAGCAAAGCAAAGGGTAGGATAACACAGTATAAAAATCATTGTGTATGTAAACTATCCTACTTTTTTATGCTTTCTCAATTTTGTGTAGCGTTGTTTAAGATTCTGTATATGCCCGTGTGTTTTCATTGGAGATTTCCATTTCTCTAGGATGGCATGGTGTTTTAGATTTAAAAAAGACGAAGGGGGATTGTTGCCTCAGTTGAATTCCTAGTATTCCCTTCTACCCAACGTTCTGAGAGGAAATCTTACTGATCATAAGTCATTTTTCTGGAACTTTTAGCAACTGAAGAAACAATTTGAACAAACTCTTAGTTTCGAACATGGCTTGTTAGGTCATCTATAAAAACAAATAGCAGGGCCGGGCGCGGTGACTCACACTTGTAATCCCAGCACTTTGGGAGGCCGAGGCGGGCGGATCACGAGGTCAGGAGATCGAGACCATCCTGGCTAACACGGTGAAACCCTGTCTCTACTAAAAAAATATACAAAAAATTAGCCGGGCGAGGTAAGTCCCAGCTGCTCCGGAGGCTGAGTCAGGAGAATGGCGTGAATCCGGGAGGCGGAGCTTGCAGTGAGCGGAGATCGTGCCACTGCACTCCAGTCTGGGCGACAGAGCGAGACTCCGTCTCAAAAAACAAACAAACAACAACAACAGCAAAAAACAAATAGCAAAATAATAAGACAGTATAAGGGAAGGCTGTATTAACATAGATGTATTTAATATGTCTCATCTACAAACACAAGCCCACCAAACAATCTGTTTCCACAAGAAAGGGTTAATGTACTTCTTAATACCCACAATACGATAGAATCCATTGCATTCAGGAGTCAAGGGAACATTAAAGCTTGGCAGGCATGCAAAGCCACATATAGTGTAGCTTTAGGCTGCTAGTATTTGCTGATCTTTGTTCTCTTTGCAAAAGGATAAAAGAAAAAGGGAAATTTGTCCAAAGGACCCAGGTAAACAACTTTTTACCCACGTTTAAAACCTTCATAAATTTGCCAGGATGATGAATTTTTGTTTCTATTGTTGAAATTTGTATTGTGTCTGTTTAATTGAGCAGGTTGCATATGAGTTCCTGAACACAAACAATGAGACCGGTTGCATTTTGATTATCTGTGAAGAAGTCCTTTTTTTTTTTTTTCCCCTAGTTCTGTCCCTTCTGGCAAAAAAGTCCAGGAATCAGGTAATAAATCTCGTGCAATAGCTTCTTACCCTTGTCCCTATCAGAACAGTAATTATAACTTCTTTTTGGAAATGGCAGATGTTGCCATTTCCAATCACTTATTCATTCTATACGTTTTTGTTGAGTGATTTTTATATACTATCTTCTTTTTAGTCACCACTGATATACAAGTGAATAGAATGTAGTCCTTGCTTTTGAGAACCTTCCAGAGGGCAAGTTGGAGCTACAAAATATTATTACAGTGATATCATATGTATTCTACTATACATAAAGGAAAGTTCTTTTTCTTAAAAAAAAAAAAAGACTAAGAAAGTACCCATTTAGAACCACTTCATACACATGGAGAAATGACGTTATAGCTGAATGTAAATATAGGAGACTGGAAAAAAGCTATTTAGGTAGGAAAGGCAGGGACAAGTATTCTGGAAAAAGGGAATAGTAAGAGTAAAAGAATGAGGCACAAAAAGAGTTTTCCATTTTTCCTTCTCTGTCCTCTCACTCCAGATCCTTTCCTGCTACATTCTTTATTCCTGTCACTAAAAGAAATTGTTCCATTAAACAACAGCAAGTTTTAATGTATATAAAACCACTCAAAATGTTCAGAGGAAGAATGTTCTGTAACTGTAAATATGAACAAGTAATTTATAAAATATCACTGAGCTAACAAATTAATGTTTCTGAAATCATATTTTAGTTTTCTAAAAGGCATCGTTCTTGTCTGTGGAAAGGTGAGAAAAGATCTTGTACACAAAGATTTATGTGCAAGGATGTTCAATGTCATATTATCTGTAATAAAGAAAAAAATGAGAATACCTAATTCTAACTCAAGACAAGTAGTTACATAAAGTACGCCTACTAATATATGACATAGGCATATGATCACTACATATTCTTCATTTAAAATAGTTATAAAATATACAAAGTATAATTTTATATTTGCATAGAAATGTACATAGAGAGACATATAGAGAAAACACTGAAAGGATGTCCTATATATGAAAAAACAGTATTCTTTCTAGGTTTTGGAATTACTTCTTACATGTTTTCAATATCGTCTATACTGAACACATCTCACTTTATAATCATAGGACAAATCGCAATAAATTTCAGTGGCAGGGGTTGGGGAATAAACATATTCATTAGGAGTTTAATGAACTTACAATATTTTAACTTTAGTCTTTGGTTTGTAAATTATAGGTCAAATGTAAATATAAGAAATGCTGCCTGTTTGTTTCTTAAAGGAGAACCATGTCTTTGTATTTTAATCAATTAGATAAATGTTTGAAAAAAAAAAGTGAGACCTGTAATACCGATTTGAATACTTGTGCTTGCACTAAAAATTTCAAATATTTTTCTGCCCTTGACCTTGAGTAAACAACTTTAGAAAAATAACACATATTGTGAGTTATATTCATCTTTGGATGAACTTTAGGAGACTTATCTGTTGGATAATTGAGACTGAGTTATTATTGGTCTAAGGACGATTTTTTTCTACTATAGCTTAGCAGCCAGATACAGATTAGCATTTATCAATAAAGATGAGTTTTGTTCTGTCAATAATATTGCTTAGAGATAGGCTATTAAAATTTGTCATTGTTAGTGCCAGTGCCTGTTCTGACTTATAAAATAAAATTCTAGCAATTTAAAAAGTTATTCTCTTTTTCACGGTGAGAAATATGTGGTCAGTGAGGATGTGACTTATTTATCTGTTCAAAACCATAGGAATAATAACTATATTTACTCATTGTTTACCGTGTGTCAGTCTCACACTGGTCCTGAAAGAGGTACCCTAATAATGAAAAGATAATTAGTCCAAAACAATTAGAAAGTAGTTCCTTTAAAAAGGTAAGTGTTTTATCAATGATATATGTGGCATAATAATTTGGAATTTTTATACCTGTGTACGAATTGTGACATCACCACCCAGTATTTATGATGTTGGACAAATTATTGAAACTCCCTGATTTAGTCATCCCCATCTATAAAACAAAGGAAGCATTGTACCTGATATGTTTGGATCTGTGTCCCCACCCAAATCTCATGTCGAATTAATCCCCAGTGTTGGAGGTGGAGCCTGGTGGGTGGTGATTGGATCATGGGGGTGGTTTCTCATGAATGGTTGAACACCATTCCACTCAGTGCTGTTCTCATGACAGTGAGTTTGTTCTCATGAGATGTGGTTGTTTAAAAGTGTGTAGCTCCGTCTCACCACTCTCTTCCTCCTGCTCTGGCCATGTGAAGTGCCAGCCTCCCTTTGCCTTCCACTATGATTGTAAGTTTCCTGAGGCCTCCCCAGAAGCTGAGCAGATCCCAGCACCATGCTTCCTGGACAACCTACAGAATCATGAGACAATTAAACCTCTTTATTAATTACCCAATCTCAGGTATTCCTTTATAGCAATGCAAGAGCAGGCTAATACAATACCTATCTCATAAAGTTATTGTGAGGATTAAGTGCCATAATCTACAAGCACCATTTAGAGTGCCTTCTGTTCAATAAATGTTAGCTGTTAATACAGTTTCATAGCATCTTTGCCATCAAATTTAAAATGAAACATTTAAACACCTCCATGTATGTTTTGATTCTCTTATTCAATTATCTACTTATGGAATAACTTTTCTCATTCTTTGGAATGCAAAATACTAAATAGAAAAGACATTACCTTTCTGTAGCAAGTGTTAAAAGCTCTAGTAGTTTCTCTCAAACAGGTCTCCTTAAATCTGAATTGAAATATTTAATATCTTCAAACCATCCAAATTGCACTTACTTAGTGTGTAACAGTAAGGGAAGGTTCAGTTGACTTTATTATCTGCTTAAAACAGATAAGATACTAAGAATGTATAGATATGGTGCCTTTGGAGAGCAAACTCAGGCATGATCACTAAAGATACTAATACAGGATTTGCTAGACACTTATTTCGGAAAAGGCTCAACAATTTATCCTGTGAAATATCCCAACTTCCAGATTTTGTGTTAAATCCTCTTTCTGGTGTTATTTACTTTGTGCCTTCATCCCTGTAATGTCTACAATCTAGAATTCAAATCAGATGCCTTGAATCCTTGGTTAGAAGCCATCATCAATCATGTGTTTTCTTTTTGCATCACATCAAGAGACACCCAATTCTGCTAAGAAAATAAAAGTACTGATAGACTGACCCTAGAGAAATAATGGTAAACAAGACAGAAAAGATTATGCTGTCATGGAAGTTGCATTACAGTGGGATAGAGGCATGATCAACAAGTAAATAAGTATGATAATTCAAAATACTATTAAAGTTATAAAAAAGAAAAAACAAAGTGAGTGAGATAGAGTGTTCAAGGTGAGGTTTTACAGGAAAGTCTCTTTGAGAAGGTAACATTTGAGTACACCCTGAAAGATTAGAAAAAAACAGTAGAGAGAAAACCTGGGAAAGGGGACTTCAAAGACAATGGAAATAATTTTCCACAATGGCATAAGTAAGTCTAATGTGTTTGGGGCGGGGGGGGTGGGTGGGGGAAGAAGACTTTTGACTGAAGCATTAGTCATCTGGGGAAATCTAGTTCCTGCAATGTGGTAGACCAGATATTGTAACTCCCTCTGCCACTAAACCCATAGAAATGATGAAAAAAATGTGTATTTACTTTTAAATGTATAGCTGAGCTTACAATAAAGTAAGCCAAGTTCCTACTTGCCAAAAATGAAGAAGGCAAAATAAAATGGTAAGGTCAATTTGAAGGTCATGGATGAAAGAATATTCTCAGCCTTGGTAATCATGGAAATGGATTATAATAACCATAACAGAATATGAAATGAGGCCACGAGCCTAATGGAGTCAGGGAGTGAAAACTGAGATTCCTGCTGGAGGACTAGAAAATTTCCTCATCAGCACAAGGATATTATTCCAAAATATAACTTTCATGAGAGCAGGGACTTTGCCTGTTTCTTATGATATCCCTAGTCTTTAGCACAGTAACTTAGTAAACTTTTATTGAATAAATGAACGTCTTGGCTTGGGCTCCAAGTAAAGAGGAAAATGTCTTCCCTATGAGTTTGTAACCATGCCTCCCCTCACATAAATTTGGGGGCTTATAATTGAAATAGGTAATATATGTGGGGTTTGCCAACCTCTAAGTAAGAAATTAACACAAAAAGTGCTCTGAAATTGGAATATCCTGGGAAGCCTAGCAAAAGGACAAATTATCAACCAAGATTTTCTATAGGAGACAAAACACACATTAAAAATAAGCTTAGAACCCAAAATTATAAAAATACATTGGGAAACTCTCAGGTACAAAGAGGCACTTCAGTCATCTTTGCTTCTTGATGCATCGTATGAGAAAACAAAAATGTCTTGAAATTGATGAGAAAGTGATGATATCAACCATTTAACCCATACCTAATGTACTGAGAGTCCTGGTAATTTAACCATGTCAGTGCAGTCTTTTTAACCATGTCAATGCACTCTACATTATTTACTGAAGAAAAATGATTGCCCTTGAAAGATTTTTTTTTTTAAGATTAAGAAACAAAAATAGGTTAAAAGGAGCCAAATCAGGACTATAAGGTGGATGCCTAATGATTTCCCATTGAAACTTTCACAAATTTCCCCTTGTTTGATGAGAGGAATGAGGAGGAGCATTGTCATGGTAGAGAAGGGCTCTTTGGTGAAGCTTTCCCAGGCATTTGTCTGCTAAAGCTCTGGCTGTCTTTCTCAGAACACTCTCATCATAAGCAGATGTTATCGTTTTTTGGCCCTCCAGCAAGTCAACAAAGTGCCTTGAGCATCCCAAAACACCGTTGCCATGACCTTTGCTTTTGACTGATCTGCTTGTGCTTTGACTGGACCACACTCCACGTCTTGGTAGTCATTGCTTTGATTGTGCTTTGTCTTCAGGATCATACTGGGAAAGCTATGTTTCATCTCCTGTTACTCTTCTTGGAGAAACGCTACAAGATCTTGGTCCCAGTTGTTTAAAATATTCATGGAAAGCTCTACTATTGTCTGCAGTTGATCTGGGTCCAATGGTTTTGGCACCAATTGAGTGGAAGGTGCTCGACTTTGATTTTTGACTCAGGATTGTGTAAGCTGAACCAGTTGAGATATCTATGGTGCTGGCTATTGTCCAAGCTGTTAAATGTTGGTCCTCTTCAGTTAGGGCATGAGCAAGATAAATTTTTTCCTTGCAAATTGCTGTGGATGTATTTGCCAGCACAGGATTTATCATCAGCATCTCATCCCTTCCTAAAACAAGCTATCCATGTGTAAACTGATGATTTCTTTAAGGCATTGTCACCATAAACTTCTTGTAAAGTATCAGTGATTTCATCATTCTTCCACCAGAGCTTCACCATAAAGTTGATATTTGTTCCTGCTTCAATTTTAGCAGAATTCATTTTGCTCTTAAGAGGGCTTTTTTCAAACCAATGGCTTATTCTTCTTAGTACTTCAAATGAGATCCTGTTCAGACATGTTACCAAAAGTTAGCACAAGTGTAATTTTGTCCCAAAAACATTTTTGAAATTCATGCATAGTTTTTTTATAATATGCATTTTTCCATAAACTTTTTGAGGATCACTTGTAGTAATGATTTTTAAAACATCTAACTTCCCTGCTTAAACCACACCTTGTATTTCTAAAGCTATGGTTAGTCTATGAAGAATGTACAAAGTCCACTTAAAACACAGAGATTAGTTATTGTTTAAAAATAAAACTGTGGAAATTCAACATGCAATGGATGAAATCTGATAGCTATATAAGTAAATTCACCCTAAGTGATACTAAATAAATGGTTGGTTTATTAATTGAGAAACACTAAAATTCAAATCAAGACATAAACTTTAGCAAGAAGCACTAGACAAATGTAAAATACTATTAATAAAATCACATATAGAAAAGATTACAGAGACAATAGCATTTCAGGAAACCTTCAGACCTATCGTGGAAGTAGACCATAGGGACCTAGAAAAAGATAATTTAGCATGAGTATTTCAAATCACCTTGGACGGTACCTGAATAAGTCTGGAGGAAACTATACAGTAGGCCTTAAATATTATAATTTGAGGGAGATTGCCCTTCTCTTTTGTATTAGCACTCTGTTATATTTTTATGGGAAATTGGTGCTTATCGATGGAGGAAACACTGAATTAATCAGCTACCAAGAGGCACTTCAGTCATCTTTGCTTCCTGATGCATGAAGAACAGTAGGAAACAATGAGGTAAGAGACTAGGTAAGGCAATAATACTAGTAAATTGAATGTTTCCCATGCATACTTTTTGCCCCCATACAAAGCTTAATTTATGGAAAATGGTGAACAGCAAAGCTTTGTTATGGTCCTGATCCAATTTGCTTTTGACAGATTATACATCTTTGGAAAAAATGCAACCAATGCCACCAAGGTCACAACACTCACCAAATGTCATCAAGGTCAGCAGAAGTACAGATTATTCAACTATATCATCATTACTTGAGGTCATTTTGGCAATCCCAAAAGAGATCAGAATTCTGAAAAATAGGTATCTATTCCTTGCCTGGGAGCAGTCCTGCTATGTCCAGCAAATACAGACACTTGGTAAGTATTTGTTACCTGACTTAGTGACTTCTCCTTTCACTTTGCTTTACTTTCAGAAAAAATGATTTAAATGACATAAATAATTTCTTGAAACTGACATGAAAATGAGTATCAGTAAAAGCTGTAAGACATAAGTACAGACACATGTGGGTTTACTCACCTTATCTAAAGGTTGCAATTGCATATGATTTTCCTGTGACTTTCTAGCCCATCACACATGTTGCTACACCCATTTTTCTGTCAACCCTTGAGTATCCCCACCTCCTTTCTCTGTACTCAAGATACACATAGTCATATATCTCACCATAATTATATGCTAAATGTTTCTTTCTTAAACTTTGGTCACAGCGGGGTCAAGATTTCTTTTTTTTATATCCAGCTCCTTTTCCCAGTAATAGATTAAAGTTGCTACCCTACAGTCTACCCAAGACTTGATTACATATTAGCCTATTTAAAAGTCTGCTTCTAGAATTCCCCTGCATAAAGTCTTCTTTTGGGGTGGACATAGTCTCAGTTCAGAATCTCTGAGCTGTTTCTCTTTTTTTGCCTTTTACAGTCTCCACTAAATCTCTCTTATTATTGCTTGTTCAATAATCTTCCGTTTTCTCCACCTGCTCTTTTTCTAAAAACATTTCGGCTTTTTTACAATGAAGGATTCATAATGTTATAATCCCACCCCAAGTAGTGTGCACATCTTGTTTATACATTATTTATACTAACATCAGGACAAAATTTAGCACATTTAAAACCAAATGACATATTTGTTTTTAGTTTACCTTTGGTTGCTGTGGGTTACTCCTAATCCACACATATATTGCCACAAAAAAGAAAGGAGAAGGCTGTGCAAATAAGGCCTGTAAAATGAGCTATTTGCCTTTAAGAGTATAGCCAAATTATGCGACAGCTTGCAACAGGGAATTAGATGAGAAATTGTTTTCAATATTTACACCATTTTGTAGTAAAAGAAAAAGATGTTTAGTTCTAGATTTGCACGGAAGCCACTGAAGCCCCTTTCACAATCATTTACACTTCTTGGATCTCAATTTCCAAAAATGCTAAAACCGAGTTCAACAGTCACTGGCCTTGACTACTTTCTTATGGAATCAACCACTTAGAGACTACAGAAAAGATAAGATGTAAGTTACCCTTTTTATGAAGAAAATGTGCTTTCATGGGAAGGGCATAGGTTTTAGAGCCTAACTTCTCAGGGCTAGATCTCCTTTAAATCCTCTACCAGATGATCTAGAGTGAAGTTACTCAACTTCTTTAGGTCTTGATTCTGCATCTGTAAGACAGTAATAATAATATTTGCCTCACAGAATTGTTCTGAGGATTGCCTGAACAATCCTAAGAATATGCAAATGGCATGACACAGGAGGTGCTCAAATAAATGGTAGTTATTCTTAAAGCTGTTGTTCTACTTATTGATTTAAAGAGGGGACAGTATTTTGACTTGGTGACTTGAAGGAGAATCCAGTGCTCTAAAAAATTTAGTACCTGCTAGATTATTTAAAAATGTCAAACACAGAGTGTTTAAGGGGAAAAGGGAAAATTCTCCTCACCTTCCTTCCAGTTCCAGTGTCCATGTACACATCTGTTCAATTTTTTCTATATCTGAAATAGAAGTACATAAATATAATTGATTTTATATTAAAAAACAGTTCATGTTATATATGCTGTTAGACAAACATATTTGGGTGGTAAGTGGAAAGGAACAATAAATATTTCTTGGTTCAGTAAGAAAATATCAGGTCTGAAGGAAAAAAATTAGCTGTGACCAAAGTGGAAAGAGGCACCTGCATACCACTGCAATTATTTTTACAGAAATTCCCTAGGTCTTAATTTTATTAGACATTAACCACAATATTTTAAAATAAACAATTAAAACTTTACTAGTAAAATCATTACTTAAATATTCATGTTGGTTGGGTGAAGTAAAATCACATATACATTGCCTAATTTTCATGAAGTTTGATGGGTGTGTAGATCACAAATGAATAAGAAAATCACTCTCTCCTGGATGCTACTAGGTCTTTTTCTGCAAAGCTACTTACTTGCAGCAGCCTAACAAGATTTTGCAAACACAGAGGATGGTTGGAAAAAGGATACAGATTCTCCGCTGTTATTTGTTACTCCAAGTGCAAACTGACCTAGTTATGGTTACCATGGATACTATAATTTTGAATTTAATCACATTCTGAACAGGAGTAGCAATACAGCTCTGTGAAACACTGAGATCAATCTGAAGCTCAGCCTTAAAAGGTGAAGAAACTGAGTCAGGGAGGGTAAGTGGCTTATCCTATACCGAGATAATGTAGTTTTCAAAGTCACTCAAGTCATAAAAAATGCTTCTTAGCTTAAGTGATTTACATGAGACTTTGTTGCACTTATTAAAAATACACTTTTTCTCCTAGTCATCTATAACTACTGTTTTTCAACTTGAAGCAAAAAAAAAAAAAAAAGAACAAATATATATTTGGAGTCAATATACCAAGCTGTCACGACAAACAGGTTTCTGCACAAATGAAAACCAAGTGAAATAAAAATGAAAATGCCTGGGAAGTGGAAGAACAAAGGATCATTTGTTTTAACTTGAGCTTCTAGGATCATTTGATGGCAATATTTTATGAGTCTGCAACATATAATTCTGCATATAAAACGTGATACTACTATAACATGTACATTTAAATATTCAACCATAATATTAAGATTTTCTTTTAAGTAAATCTTCCTGAATTCAAATACTTAGAGTAAAAGAAACAGGAAGCTGGCTGCTTATAATTAAAATAAAAACTACCTGTAGTTCTATCTCAGAAGTGACCTAAAATCAAGCAGGTGCAAATTTTAGGACATAAAAATGAGAGAAATTATACAGAAGGAGCAAAAAAATTAATTCTGAATTCTCCCTGGAAAATAAAAATAGTTCATCTCCTGTATTGGTTGCTTTGATACAAGTTGCTGTTCTGCTGAGTAACTCTTAAATGGATTCTCTAAGATCATATACTATTGGAAATTGAATCCAGTGATCTGACTTAGACCCTGGCAACATTATATAAGCAGTTTTCAAAGATCCCAATGGTATCTTTTCTTGCTTATGTAGATGGTTTTGATAATAGCCAGGCCACCTCATGCACTTGCAAAGACTCTTCCCCTTCCCAAGATAAATTTCCCCCCAATAACCTTGAAAATCTTGTAATGGATGATTCATTACAGCTGAGACAAAGGCCCAAGTACTGTCATATGTCATTGCTAAAATTACTTCAGACAAGAGGATGAAAACATTAGAAGGTTTACCTCCTTTCAATCCTCAGCTCCCATCCATTGTTGGCTGACAGGATTATTATGCTGCTGCTTGGTCAGTGCATTAGCAGAAATTGTTGCTTTCAGGAAGCACAGCGGTGAATATAAAAACAGAGCTACAAGATAGCAGGGCCACAACGAACAATTTATAGTTGAATAGAGAGCTCTCAAAGCTGGCTTTATGGTCATCTCACAAATACATTAATGATCTCATCTTTGAGGAAATAATATTCCCTGAATTTCCTTTGTTTCCAAATCTATATTGTTTTCTTTCCAGGAGAGAGGGTACTGATCATAGAGAGGAAAAAATAAATTAGCAGCTTGCATGTAAGCCTCTCCCCATACATTGGTAGGCTGCACATGATCTTAAGCTGCTATGCCTGACTCCCAACAATGGCAAACATTTATTGATCTCATATTGCTAGTCATGATGAGAGTTTCAAAGGCAAATATCTTGAAGAGATCATAATGTAACTAGAGTTACAGAATGTACAGAGCTCCCTCTACTATGATGGAAGTATGCTGTTTTGTGATTTCAGAGGAGGCAGGGAGTGATTGTAGCAGGAGGGAAATGTCACAGAGGAGGGAACATTAAGTTGTATCATGAAAGATGTGTCATATTTCATGACGATAGAGAAGGCAATTTCATGTATAATAAACAGCTTAAACAAAATCAATCCCCAAAGAAAACAGAATACATGGTATGTAATGAGTATGTGAGTGTATTAATCAGGGTTCTCTAGAGGGACAGAACTAATAGGAGATATATGTGTATATATATACATATATCTCCTTTTATATATATATATCTCCTATTGTATATATATCCTATTTATATATATATATATATATATATATCCTATTAGTTCTGTTAGCAGATAGGCCATCTGCAGTCTGAGGAGAAAGGAGAGCCAGTCTGAATTCCAAAACTGAAGATCTTGGAGTTGATTTTCAAGGGAAGGAAGTACCCAGCATGGGAGAAAGATGTAGGCTGAGAGGCTAGGCCAGTCTTGCCTTTTCACATTTTTCTGCCTACTTTATATTCCAGCTGCGCTAGCAGCTGTTCAGGTGGTGCCCACCCAGATTAAGTGTGGGTCTACCTTTCCCAGAACCCTGACTAAAATGTAATCTCCTTTGGCCACACCCTCACAGACACACCCACAATTAATACCTTTGTATCCTCAATCCAATCAAGTTGACATTCAGTATTAACCATCATAATGAGTCAGATTGCATTTTTCCAATAGCCAGAGCAACTTCTCCCATTCCATATGCTCTTATAATGTGACTTTGATACTCCTTTCATTGAGAAGAGAGACTCTGTGCTCATTGAGAAAGTAGGCTTTGTGACAACAGTGGAAGTAATGCTATGTGACTTCATAGAATAGGTCATAAAGATGGTACATTTTCTGCCAGGGTCTCATAGGAGAACCCCTTCAAACCTTGAGCTACCATATAAATGTCTGACTTCCCTAAAGCTGCTATACTGGGAGAAAAACCCAGACTAGATCCCATGGAGAGATCAAAACGAAAGGCCCTGAAACTATCAAGAGAGGAGGATGCCTGATCAACCCATAGCTGTCCTAGCTACTTGCCATTTTAGCTTCAGCCAATATCTGCCAACAACCACATGAAAGATCTGAGTTAGAACTACTTAGCTGAGCCTTTCCCAAATTTCTGGCCCACAGAAACTGTGAGAGCTGATGCAATGATAAGTATTGTTTTAAGCAACTAAGTGCTGGAAGTGATTTGTTATTCAGTAGTTAAAACTCAAACAGTAAGCAACTGGAAATGAAACTAGACAGTCTAATTGAGGCCTACATAATATTTGAATTTTCTCCTACATGAATGGGAAACAATCCAACAAGCTTTTTTAATCTGAAGAATGACATGATCCAATTTATAGTTTAAAAGGACACTCAAGTGACGTTAGGCAAGATGAACAGGAGTAGAGAGACACTGAAGACAAGGAGAATGCTTGCAGGAATTCTCAAAGTTGAACTGTGCATAAAAATCACTTGAGGTGTCTGATAAAATTTCACATACCTTGAACTCATCCCAAAAAATAAAGGAAAGGTAATGAGGAATTGTTTCTAAATACCTTTAATGGAGAAAAGTACATTTGTTGTACACTTGCTGTATGTCGGGCAGTTTTTAGGCACTTGGTATACAGCAGAGTGGCTAAGATCACAGGCTTTCCTGTAAAAGGGGGCTGAATTTGAGTTACTTCATCATTTACTAGCTATTTGATCTTGGGAAAATTACTTAACTTCCCTGAACCTGTTCCCATATTTTAAAATATAGATATTATCCTACCTTTCTCACTATTTTACTTAGGTATAATCCTTACATATAGTAATTGCCCAATAATAATAAATGACTGCATAAAAACACATGCGCACATATGTTCATTGTAGCAGTATTCACAATAGCAAAGATGTGGAATCAACCTAGATGCCCATCAATGGTAGACTGGAGAAAGTAAATGTGGTACATATGCACCATGGAATACTAGGCAGTCACAAAAATGTATGAGATTATGTCCTTTGTAGTAATATGGATGGGGCTGGAGGCCATAATCCTAAGTGAACTGACACAGAAACAGAAAACCAAATACTGCATATTCTTACTTATAAGTGAGAGCTAAACATTGAGTACACATGGATGCAAAGAAGGGAACAACAGGCACTGGGGCCTAGTTGAGTGTTTTGGATGGGAGGAGGGCGAGGATTGAAAATCTACCTCTAGGGTACTATGCTCATTACCTGGGTGATGAAATCATCTGTACATCAAACCCACACAACATGCAATTTACCTATAAAACAAACCTGCTCATGTACCCCCTGAAACTAAAATAAAAGAAAAAATAATAATAAATGATTGCAAATGTTCTCAGCAGTGTCATTCCCACATTTCAATGTTCTTATCTCCTTTAGCAAAATTCCTTCTATTCCTGCTTTCTCCTCTACACATTACTAAAACTCCTTTGGAAAAACTTATAAATGATCAACATGTGCCAAATTAAAAAGAATTATTTTCATTTTATTTGGTTTCCTGACAGGCTATCCTTTCATTTGGGAAAAACTTGCATCTAGACTTCTATGTACCACATTCCACTGTTTTTCTCCTACCTCAATGGTTGCTTTCCTACTTTCTTTGATGCATTTTCCTCCAAAACCATCTCTAAACTCAGAGTCTTTCAGGGTTTGATTTTGATCCTTCTCCTCTTGACATATTTTCTTCTTAAATGACCTCATCAATCTATGACGTAAAATAATATGTATATTTTGATGACTCCAGTTTTTATCTAAAATCTAAATAGTGACTCTAAATTCATAAATCTGAAGCATACCTGATATTTCTCTTTTATCTCTTATAGGCATCTTAACACTAATGTATCCTAAATTGAATTCTTGATAATCTCACCAAATTTACTCTTCCTCTGTACTTCTTCCCTCCTATATTAGTGCACAGCACAAAATATCTTCCCAGTTATTCAATCTTAAAACCTAGAATTCATCTTTCATTCATTTTTTACTCATCCACTTCAATCAAATCATCTACAGGTTGTGTCAGTTCAACTCTTAAAAGGTATTTTGAATTCATCAACTCTTCTCTATTCCTACCGCTACTATGGTAGTCCAAGCATTTCTTGCCTGGACTGCTACAATAAGCTCCTAACTTTTGCCCTTTCCTTCCTCCGATTTAGTTTATTCACAACATTGTTCAAGAGATGTGACTTCTGTTTTGGAATGATGAGTTTTACAATCTAGAATCACCTTGGATTATTTTGGAATCCTGAGATCACATAATGCTAGACATAAAAAGATTTATGTATCAAGTAATCTACATCCAACATTAATAAGAATAGTTGAGGTTATGTTAAGTCTAGGTAATAAAAACGTCCCAAATCTCAGTAGACTAAAGCAACAAAGGATTCTTTCATGATCAAACTATACAATCATCATGGGGTGTCTGGGGGTTTTGTTCTGAGCCATCTACATTCCAGGACTCATCCTGATGGAGCCCCCACTGCCTGGAATCTTGCCAGTACCAATAATGACAGAAAGAAAGCTATAGCAAAAACACCCACTGTGTTATTAAAACATTCCCTAAAAGTGACATACATCATGTTCAATCAATTTCTTTGGCCAAGGCAAGTTGCTTGACCATGTCTAAATCAAAAGGGTGTAGGGAAGTAAAATACTTCCATGTGCCTAAATGGAGAACTAAAATTATTCAGTGAATAGCACTAATGATGAGTTCTCCCTTATATTTTACAAATGAATAAATTAGGACCTAGAGAGGCTATGTCAACTGTAAGATCATGAAGCTGATTTATGTCACAGTCAAGACTAAAACTGAGTCTTGTACTCACTGTCCAGTGCTTTTCCTAATAATCAACTGGGAATTGTTTGTTCCTTATCCAAACAAAATATGTTTAAATGTCTTAATATCAATATTTTATTTATTTATTTAAGTAATATCAACCTTCTGTATTAAAACATTTTTATACCTTTGCTAAAAAATATGAAGCTTAGAGGCCTTGCTCCTCCAGTCTCATTGATGTTCTAGCAAGATGCCCCAGTGTCAAAGCACTCAAAATCTCTCTGACCTGGCTGTTCTCATTTCTAGAAAAACTAAGTCATGTTTTACGCTAGGGATTCTAAACACATTGGCTTAAGAAATGTCAAGGAGATAAGCAAGAGAACTGTGAATCTGTATGTAAATTAAGCACCATCTGTTAAATCCACTAGAAATGTATTCGCAACAAGAACTCCAATTAACAATAGCTTAGGGAGGGAAGATCTATTTGACCCTCATAACAAGTCTAAAGGTGAATGGCTACTGATGTTGGTTCCATAGGTCAAAGGTATCAGAGCCCATGGATCTCTTGGTCTTTTCCCAAGGACACAGGAGGGCTGTGACTGCTCCATGCATTACACCTATGATCAGTCTAGAAGAATGGGGAAGGTTGAAACCAGATGAGATTGCCCCTTTTATTGGAGAACCAAAAACTTTCCCAAGATCAATAATCCACCCCTTATTCTAAAGGTCCTATTTGTCAGGACCGGGGTTACATGGCCAACCCTAGCAGAAAGGGAGATTGAAAAAAATAGGAAAAAAGATTATCATTGATTGGCCAAGCCTAATGCTGCCTTGAACAAGAGAAGGGTTCTGTTGACAAAGAATAGCATGGGGGTAGGAGGCGGTAAAAATGAAGACTAAGTAAGCAACCAACAGTGTCTACCTGATTCCCTGATTGAATAGATTGTTTTGAGAGAATTTATCTACCGTTGTTAAATTTTACGTTCAAAATAATGTGAATAAATAAAGTATATATTTACCACTGAACTCATAGTAGCTATGTTATGTATCTTCATAATTGGTGAAATTAAAAAACATAAT